AAAAAAAAAAAAAAAAAAAAAAAAAAAAATTCATAACATTAAGGATTTGACACAAAACATAACTGACATAATACATGTACAGGATTGAAATAAAAGGTCATGAATCCCTCATAATGACCACACATGCGGGGTTTAGTTAGTTAGCTTTAATGGCAGAGAAAGGAGAGCCAAGGAGGGGCCAAGAATTAAAAAATAAATAAATAAATAAAAAATAAACCAACAGAAAAACAGCAGGAAGGCAAAAACAACAAAAAAAAGCAGGAAGGTAATACAATGCAGTTTTGCACTCCACCTACTGTTCCAAGGTTCTCTGGAGAAGTCTAGAGGGGAAGAAAAAAAGAGTCATGTGGAATAACCATCCTGAAATTAAAGTGGAACCCCTGCTTTGTAGAAATACATCAAGGAACAGCATATGACAAGTTAACATGTTGACTGTAAACAATTTCAGATCTGAAGCAAATAACACTTTTGGAGGAAGGTGAAGAGGTCATCATAGACACTACAAAGTATTTATTTATTTATTTATTTATTAGAAACAGGGTCTCAGTTGCCCAGGCTGAAGTGCAGTGGTGTAATCATAGCTCACTGCGGCCTCAAATTTCTAGTTTCAAATGACCTCCCTGCCTTAGCCTCCTTAGTAGCCAGGACTACGGATATGTACCAACATGCCTGACTACAAATTTTTTTTTTTTTTTGTAGAGATAGGGTCTCACTAAATTGCTCAGGGTGGTTTCAAATGCCTGGTCTCAAGAGATCCTCCCTGCTTGGCCTCCCAAAGCAGTGGGATTAAAGGTGTGTACCACCACACCTGGCCTCTCTTTTAAAACTAGATATTTTCAAAAGAGAAAATATACAACCAACAGTATTATTTTATTTATTTATTGAGACAGAGTCTTCCTCCTGTCGCCCAGGCTGGAGTGCAATGGCATGATCCACCTCCTGGGCTCAAGTGATTCTCCTGCCTCAGCCTCCTGAGTAGCTGGGATTACATGCTCAGGAGGCTGAGGCAGGAGAATCCCTTGAACCCAGGAGGCAGAGATCGTGCCACCACGCCCAGCTAATTTTTTGTATTTTTAGTAGAGACGAGGTTTCATCATGTTGGTCAGGCTGGTCTTGAACTCCTGACCTTGTGATTCGACCGCCTTGGCCTCCCAAAGTGCTGGGATTACAGGTGTGAGCCACTGTGCCTGGCCGCACTGAATTTTTAAAAGAAACAACTGCAAAATTCAATCTTTTTTTAGTTGATTGACGGAAGTATAGGGAAGTTTTTCAATAAACGTTAAAATTATACAATCGTAATTATCACAGTAAATGCAATGATGACTACTGATGCATTCATTTGCTATGCTCAGAAGACTTAGGCAAAGTAGTGTCCTCATAACTAAAGTGTAAAAGATTGAAATGACAAGAGGACAGTGACTCTTCCTAGTTGCATGATTTATTCAAAGACATTCTGGGTCTCAATTACTTTAACATTTTAAAATGAAATGCACTAAAATCTGATAATTCTATCTATCTATCTATCTATCTATCTATCTATCTATCTATCTATCTGTCTGTCTGTCTGTCTGTCTGTCTCTATCTATCTATCTATCTAGTTATTTTAGAGACAGGGTTTTGTTCTGTGGCCAAGTGTGGAGTACAGTAGCACGATCAGAGCTCACTGCAGCCTTCAACTCCAGGACTCAAGCAATCTTCCATAGCCTTCTGAGTAGCTGAGATTACAGGCAAATAGTTGAAATTATAAGAGAGTGTCTCAGATTACAGACACTGGCTACGGCACCTGGCTCCGCTTCATTTTTAAGTAAAGAAAGACCAGGCCGGGCGCGGTGGCTCAAGCCTGTAATCCCAGCACTTTAGGAGGCCGAGGCGGGTGGATCACGAGGTCAAGAGATCGAGACCATCCTGGTCAACATGGTGAAACCCCGTCTCTACTAAAAATACAAAAAATTAGCTGGGCATGGTGGTGTGTGCCTGTAATCCCAGCGACTCAGGAGGCCGAGGCAGGAGAATTGCCTGAACCCAGGAGGCGGAGATTGCGGCGAGCCGAGATCGCGCCATTGCACTCCAGCCTGGGTAACATGAGTGAAACTCCGTCTCAAAAAAAAAAAAAAAAGAAAAAGAAA